AAATATTTCGCACTAGAACAAGTAAAAGTCTTAAGTGAATACTTAAAAACGAAAATTGGAAACCTGTTGTGCAGATGATTACCCTAATAATTATGATTTATTTTTTCTGTAATTCTTAAAAGCAAATTTTTAAAATTTTAATGAAGTGATTGTTCTGAGTATGGAAAGATTTCTGAAATACCTCGGCAATAAAAGTAAACCGCAAAAGGTCATTCAGCAATCATTTGCTCCACTAGGTTTGACTGAGCGTGAAATACTCCATTTGAACCTTTCCAAGTTCACTGCCGTATGTCATAGAAAAACTATAATTGTTGATAAATAGTACTCCCCCCACACTGCTTTGGGTGTTACCACTAAAAGCCATAATAACCAAGTAATAACCAGGAAACTCTCCCACATAATCATTCATTTAGGAAAACTGTGATGGTTACAAGCATGACGGCCGGAACAAAAGGCATCCTGCCTCTCGTAAAGAACAAAGAGAAGATTTCAGAGTACTTCATAACGTGTTCGTTGTCACAACTGTGATAATTTGCTAAGGTCTGTTGGATCATACGCTTTTGTCTTGCTTTCTTTTATTCAGCCAGTCATATTTTCATGATCCCATACAGTGCTCGCTTTATGTTATACGATTTAAAAACACTCATTGCACCTATCTCAGTTACCGTCTTGTTATACACCATGACAGTTTCCGACAGTAGTTCCAGAGCTTCAGTAGCATTCATAATCTGGCCTATCATTCAAAAATATTTCTGAGAATGAAATGTTGTGCATTTCCTCGCGTATGATCTTTAAACACTGAGTAAATTCATATAGTTTTGGTGGATAAATCGTACTTAACGGCGAAAGAGCAGAAACTTCAATATACAAAAAAGATATTACACACAGTTAAGTAAATTCTTCCGGTAACAATCGATTATTTTGAAAAAGAGTTTTGTGCGAAATAATTAGAAAAATTAGGAAAACATTAAAAAATACAAAAGGTATAGCACTATAAGAATTGAATAAAAGCAAAGGATTCTTTATCAGCTATTTGGAACAAAGCTGCAAATGTTTATAAAAATTTATTGGTTGAATATATCCCAAATTAAATGCATTTTATTAACATAAGTTACATACATTATTTTTAAAAATGGAAAATTTAAATTTAAATTATTATAAAGTGTATTTATTGCGCTTAAATCATTCATTTTGCTAGTGTACCTATCTTCATTAGGCCCAATTTTTTAAAGGCTTCTTCTTACATCGTTTTGATTATTTCCAGATAAATTATATAAAAGGAAAACATGGAAATAAATGAAAATTCAGTGTAACGTTATTTTTAATAAAATATTACCGAATGGCTAATTCTGTGCACAAAACCGCCTGCTCCAACATCCTTATTTTCCTTTAGATACAATATGCGGCAATCGTCTACGGAAGGTGCTAAAACCTAAGAAAAAGCTTAATCAGTCTGAAAATAGATGAAAATATATGTATTAATGCATATTTTCCTAAATTTCGTTTTATATACAAACAATTATAAATTTAAACTCATTTTACTCATATCTAAAGTTTTGTGTTATATCATCAGTTACAACTGAAACGCAGACTGAAAATTTTAATTGAGAAAATAATGGTAGAGAGTTCGTGCGAAAACCTGAGTGCGAAAAATTAAATTTTGAGAAAAAATGTAGTTATTTAAAGTTTCTTGCCAGTATAAAAATAAAGTTAGTTTGAATAAAACAGGCTAAAATTCATATGTCTGATAAGTCAAGTCTTCTGCTTTTTCCCCTTATATATTGCGGGTCTTTTCTTAGAGTTTGAATTTGTTCTTGAGACAAAGAACGCCTTTTTACGTCTTAGATTTTTCACGCAGTTATAAATCGTTAAACTATTTAGTGCGAGAGTGACAGCATTTAGTACTGCTGGCACAACCCCAGCACCTTTATTTAACTGAAGAAGAGTTATGCAAAAATCTTAATGTATTGTTTATAGCGCAATGAATGTTCACGAGCGGTTTATACTTAGCATTATATAATCTAACTCTCGAGCAAAACAAACAAAAACCAAAAAAAAAAAAAAAAAAAAAAAAAAAAGAGGAGGGGACATGTTTTGCATTTTATTCTTTAAAATGAGTCTAGCATTCTCTGAATATTACTCCATAGACCGAGAGACCGAATAAAATGTTAGATTTCTTAATGTTTCAGAAAGTTTACTTTTAAAATTTTAAAATGCCAGGACATAAATATGAGACTTATATGGATGGAATATTACATGAGGAATACATTATAATTAAGTACTCGTTACATTTTACATTAAATTAGTTGTTTCTCATTACAGTAGTAAGCGATTAATGTTACAATAGATATTAATAAGCTGATTTCCAAATACAATCTAAAAATCAATGTGGACCATCCACTGGCAAAGGAATTAAGGCAAATAACAAGCTAACGTTTTAACGATTTAAGCAATTCAATGCTTCACTTCTCTGGCATAGTGCTAGGGGGTAACCGCAGTATAGCGATGTTACAAAAATTTAAAAACTATTCCATACTTGTGAAACTGATTAAAAACTGAAATATCAGTTCTACAGTCATATTTGCACAGGTCGTAGAAAAACCCTAGACTTCCTTGCTAGTGTAAAAAGAGCTAGCATAGGAGATATAGTGATTATCACATTAAATAAATCATGCAAGGAAATCGAAAAAAAAAATAGCATTTCAAAGACTATGTTCGTAGGAAATATTCGAAACTTAGATTCTGAAGATCTGTATGTTTCTAGAGTGAAGTCATAGTCAAAATATTGATTAATTACAGACAATTTCTTTTTATTTTCGGAATAGTTCCGAGAATCTTTCCAGGACGTATGACAATACAAGGTATTCTTACCATATTCGACCGAATGGAAACTTAATATATTAAAAGCAATATATAAAAGTACATTTTTATTTAGTTTCAGCAAGGAAACACGTGTTTTATCTGATCTGTACATAAAAACGTTTGATACTTCAAGTTGCACTTAGATGCTAAAACTCCTGAAAATAACAGTTAAATGAGAGATTCAAACATTTTTAAACGGAACCGATGCACTGAAAAAGAGTCGCAGGAATACCGTTCGCCCACCAGCGGCCGAGCGGTAAAGTCGCTGAAAACTGGTAGTTTCGATCTGGGTTCGATTTCAGGCGAAAGGAAGAAAGTCTTCTTCGAAGGCATCCCTCCCCTTAGGCAGACAGCTTTTGCGTGCTTTATCATAATTAAATAAATCAACCAAGAATGCTTTTCAGTAAACCGCGAAATGTTTTTCAAAGCAGCAACTCATGCAACCTGATTGATCTTCTTGAGTTATTTCATTTCAAACGAGATCATAAATGTTCGTAGAAGTATGAGTTAAGTAATATCGGAAGCTCTGTTGAAATTGAGTTTCTCCTGTTTTTTTTTTATTGTACGGGTGGCATTTTTACGCAGGTAAAAAACTACATTACACACAAAAAAAAACACACAAATAAGCAGAACACGTCGACATATGCATTGAGTTTGAAGAAATAGAAAACTGGTACAAGGAATATGATACAAAAAAATAAATACCTCTGGATATGTGAATCCAGCACCATCTCAGTGAAACAAAAGTACTCCCCACATTTAGAACGAAAATGGTGTTTTACTTACAGAATAGTACTAATGGCACTCTAATTCTATAACTGAGCGTATGGATCGAGAGATAGCAATCCTGTATTTAATACGTGTTCCATGATAGCCCACTATCATTGAAATATATTACAAAACGCTCTCCTCTTAAAAATAATAATGGCTCTTTAGAATGTCAACAGTATTAAGCGAATTATGTTAACATTTTACCACGTAAACTTACTGCATGCTATGCAACGTATATTTACATCATCGGTAAAGAACCAAATGTATATACTTTTAACCCTGGTATAGCTTATAGCGTTTCTGCGAGGAACACCCTCTCAACTTTCCCCCATTTGTAAGATTTATACTGTCACAGAAAAATTTTCGGAAAGCGGGATACGATACATTAAATTGCGAAATAGTTATTGGGAATTTTAGGATGACAGGACAGAATACATTTAGTGCTCAGATATGAAGAAAGTGAGAATAACGATCTTGCTTAGGAAACAATTAACACAAGGATTTTATGCATTTGAAAAATCTGTCTTTTTATGAAACTGAAATTAAGGCGAATTACATTAAACAAGGAAGTGTTGCAAAAGTCTTCATTTAAAATTTTAGCTATTTTAAATTTCCAGCTGAATACCTTATGGAAAGATTGAGAATTGGTCCAGCTTCATAAAGCCATTTTTCTTATTAAAAGATAGTACGACAGACATATTATATTAAAATTGATTTTAAAAATGCGTACTTATACCGTCAAATTCTAACAGTTATATATTGCTGCGAACTATTTAGATTTTCAATTAAGTAAAACAATTTCAGAATATTTACTTCTTATTTAGTTACTGAGTTATTGCGGAGGCTGTAGTTTACTTATAACATAAAAAGGAGAGCGAACCCAAAATTTGTAGACTTCGTAATCTACAGTCACGTCAGAGATGCACTGCCATTTCTAATAAGAAATAACTTATTTGAAAAGAGCAGTTATAAAGATTTTCTAAAACTTAATGTCCTAATCTTTTTTATATCTAGAAAAACAGTCAACATAGAGGCAAGCAATTAAGCGGATGCAAAATGTAATTACCAAACACTATTGTTTTGCTTTTTTCTCTGAGGAAAATGTATATATTTCGCTGAACAATAAATGGTAATTTTTAAATCATTGGTTTAAAGTTCGGAAAGGGGAGGAAAAATAAATAAAAGCTCAGAAATCCGTATTTATTGATGACGACAGAAATAACTAACAATTCTAGGAAGTATCTGAATTATTATGAGAGTGATAGAAATAAAACGGACAAAACACTTCCTGTCCAAAGTGCGACTAGTCGACTTTATCGTCCCCTTCCGCGTAAAATCTGTCAAAATGCCTTTTTTGATCATATGGGGTTAGATGTGAGTTTACTGTGCTTCCCGAAAATCGAAAATTAGTGTACGGTAACTAGATGACGGAATGTCGGTAAGTGAAAATTATTCTTCTTCCGGCTTTGAGCTTCGTAAGAATCTGATATTCTATAATTCGTTTAACGCGTTACCAAAGATATCCTGTTACATGCATTCGAATTATACAAAGATTTAGTACGAAAAACAAGGTTAAGTTACAAAACTTAACTAAGAAGTCCATTCTTCTGTGATAAGCATCTGAAATGTGTTTAACTAAGATTATTAATTAATTTGCTTGATTGCGTTTCTTCAGCGGATTTTAAAAATTCCAAACAGATAAGGCCTCTTTTATGTCCTAGGCATTTAAATGAAATTTAATTCAATTTCTTTCTTCAGATCTTTTCTTAATCCAGTCACGTTACGATTAATTTCATTCAATCTTTATTTAACCAAGTAAATTTTCTACTTTATTATTAATGCAATTTAAATGTATTTTAATTTGATTTTTTTTGGTTCTTTTCTAGTTCGGCGCTATATTTAAATTTAAGTCTGAATCTAGCAACCCTGTTCTCAAGCCATCTTACGACTTTAACTGCTATGCAACTTACTGTACTAATATCGCGTCATATAGATCTCGTGCGTATAACATTTAAGTACCCTTATCATTACGTTTCTCCAGCAAGTAACAATAAATTTTTTAAATATTACTGGTTTATTTTTAATTAATTATTCATACTTGCTACTTAATTTCGATATAAAGATACCACGAATTTGATAAGCAAAATTTTAAATATGTTCTTACATCTTTCCTTTTTTTATTTATATTCTTAAAATTTATTGATTATTATATGTAATTCTGTGAAGATAATTCTCTTTTTTAACAGCTATTCTGAATTCCTTAATCCCATAAGAGATAAAAATAAATTTCCTATAATTTTTAACTACATCATCAACATGCACATGTTAGCTTCTGTTGAAAGAATTGGGCCTATTTTAATTTGTTTTCCTATAGTTTCAGATAGGGATTCTTGTCATTCGCGCGAAGAAAGTTTAGATTAAATTCCTACCGCTCGTGCAATCATAAGAATATAACAAGGTCAACTAGTGAAAGAACGCGGGCACAAAATGACTAAAACGACTAAAACGTAAGCTCTCTAAAATATCGAATTGGAAATATAAGATTTTCTAATGAAATTATAGAATGAAAATTAAAATCACCCCCTTCAATTTGTGTAGTGATTCACTCACATTTATTTGATCAAACTCGCTAGATTTTAAGACAGGCTCATCATAATTTAAAAATTAAAAAATTATGATTCTGGTTAAATTATGATTCACGTTGTACCAATTTCAAAAAATATGTACCATATGAAACATGTTTTGTAAATCTAATTATCTGAATAAAGCAAACAGTTTAATTTTTGTTTCGTTTGACAATTTTTTTTAATTTGAGCAATCTTAGTTTCGCTCGATGATGCCATTTCTGTTTTGAATGTTTTTCCTGCTTTAGTCGGTTTTACATATCAGCGATGCTTACTTCAATAATATTATCAGCTTTATTAAATTCTTCCAAAAGTTCTGCAGTTCGTTGATATAATGGTTATTAGCTTTCTTATGTACTTATGATATTTCCTGTTACTGAGTACTACAACAAAGAATCAAAACCATTTGAAAAATTCTGAAAGCAAAGCTAATTCAACAAAGAATTTGTACTAACATTTTAAAGCACCAAATATATGCTTTTAACTTCCCCTTAAGCAAATCATACCTATATTTCCAAATTACTGAAGTTCACGACATTCTTGGGAATGACATTAAAAATGTACGATACTTTCGTTTGGATATATTTAAAATTTTTAATATTAAATCAAAGTGAAATCTGTTATCATCAGTAAATTGAATTTCTAATGAAATAAATGATTATCCATTTGTTGTCTTATTCATTTATTGAAAGACAACATTAAATAGGAGCATTATAGAATACTGTTTACTACAATGTAAATCACAGAAAAATTTTTCTTTGAACTAATCTGAGATTTGAAATAGAACACAAGAGTTTGATATCAGGCAGCAACGAAACACATATCTCATTCTCAGGTTTCGTTACCGATTTCTTGCTTTGGATTTTATTGTCGCCAAAGCAGTGTAGACTTGCTGGCAAAGACAAAAAACTGAAAGGGAAAAAAGCTCAACCATTGCTTTCTTTGTTACATTAAGATAATCATCTCCCTTTCACAAGAAGCCTTGTTGGTTGAATCAAACTTCGGGAACCCTTGCGACGAATCAACTGGGCGCCATTTGCAGTATGCAAAAATAATTATGCAATGTCCAGTAGCGAATGCATTAATGAGCATCACCGCCGAGCACTTTCATTCGGATTAATTTTAGATAATCCGTAATAATATTTTTTGCTTTTTTTTCCTGCAAAATGCATCGCAGCATTCTTAAGCACATCTTTTCACTCCGGTAAGGAGTCTGCTAAAAACTAGCTTTCATTTAAAGGTTCTTTAAATGCTAGTTTTTAGCTAGTTTTTAATATTAACTAGCTTTCAATAGTCTAGTTGTTGTCAATAGTCTATTAACTTGTGTGATAAGGAAGCTCTTAATGTGAGATTCCAGTTTAACGAAGTCGTTTTTTGATAACATTTCTAATATTTTCAAAACTCTTAAAGCCTATCTCCCTTTTTTCGTTCAGAAATTATAACTAATTTTATGACATTTTTCTACGTACAATCAATGCAAGACTAAATAAACTCGAGAAATTTATAAGCATTACCATTAAGAAGTTGTATCTTACGTTTTGTTTCTGATCATGTAAATATACCGCTAGAATTTTTTATTGCTAATTTAATTCATCCACTTGTTGTATGAATTTTACTTCATTCCATTTCAAATTTTATAATAAATTTAATCTCTAAATTTTATAATAAGTACTATGTAGAAATATCGAATGCTGTAGGTATTTAATTCTCTAACATTGCCATGACCGACTTTATCCGGTTATGAGATTTTTTGTCACTTGCCATATGTTAGCTTATAATTTAAGATATTTGGTTTGGTTACTTTCTTTAAAAACATAAATGTCATCTTAATAAATGTAAGTTTATATAAATAGAGCCTAAAACAAGTAAATATATAAATTCGTCTAATAAAGGCTGTTGAAATGCATGTCTTCATAACAGATTCAAAAACCCGCTCCACTTAGAGGGTTAGAAACCAGCTAATTGTTTTCTGAAATTATGTAAATATCGGACATTTACAGGCTAAAAACAACACATAACTTAACACACAGAACTTAAACTTTTTAATCTTCAAAATCCTGAAGTCACTCTTTTTTACTTCCTTGTACGAAGTAAAAAGGAAGTATTGTAATCGCGAAAAGTTTCAAGCAGCATATTTCAACGAAAATATCCATTTTGACCACTATCGAATGCAATTTAACGATGTTTTTGCGTGAAATCTGTACATAAGGACAGAATAAAAGACTCTTTTCCCCAAAAAATTATAAAACTGATTTAAAATGAATTCTGAAGAGAAATTTTCGTGGCGTCTGTGCGTACGTACGCACGAATGTACGTACGTCATAACTCAAAAACGAGTAGCCTCAAAACGTTAAAATTTTGTATGTAGGAATGCTATAACATGTAGATGTGCACCTCATATTTTGGTTGCAATCAGCCGCCCCAAAGTATATATATATATATATATATATATATCCACTCTGTTACTCGGCTCAGTGAGCTCAGTTATTTTATTGTTATATGTTTGTAAAATGCGCGTTTTTTGGTTTAAAAAATGATCGAATTATGTTGTTCTTACCTTTCGGTTAAGGTTTTTATGCCTATGTAAATCTCCAAGCAATAGTTGTACAATTATCAACAACTTAAAAGCTGTTTAAGTGCGGTTAATAACTAATTTTTAAATAACATGGCGGACATATTTGCTTACATTTGAAACAGCAGAACAGTAGATTTGTTCGTAGATTTGTTTAGGATTTACTTCGTAATTTTTTATGTAGATATTTTGAGTTTTTATGTTTATTTTTGCCTCGTCGCGAAGTGAGAACTGAATTAATTGAATGAGAAATAGTGAATCGTCTGTGAAAAACTGTTTCTTTTTTGTTTTTCTTGTTTAATTTCTTTTATATATCGTTCTAGATTTATTATAGTATTTGAATAGAACACGTGGCAACGATTAGATAATTCTTCAAATGATATAAATTTTGTGCATTCTGAGTTATAATATGAACGAAATATAACGCTGTCAAGTGAGCCTAGCGTCAGAGTGTCGCTATGGTAAGCAAATACAGTGAATTTTAAAGAGTGCATTTATTCTATTGTGGTTTATGCGCTATCGACGAAGTAGATTTAATTCAATAAGTGTAAATGAGATGCAAGAAAAAGGGCGTATAATTTAATATTCCGTACAAGGAAGTCATGTGGTATACATATCAGATTTTTTAATCATAAGTTTCAGAATTATTAACAAACTTAGTTTATCATTATATCCTCAGTAACATTAAGAAGGAATTAATAAACGAAAATATCAGTAAGAAAACAAAACTTTTCCATTGAAACAAAAAGCATTTTTTATGTTTACATACTTTAAAATTTAAGAAATTGTTTAACAGATTTTATAATAATTCAACACACACACAAAAAGAAAAGAAAGAAAACAAACCAAACCAAAACAAAAACCGCATGTGGAAGTTACACAGGATGTCAAACCCCTTAAACGATATCTCAGCGAAATGAATTTCGTATTGCAGTGATAAGCAGTCACAGTAAAAATCGATCTGAAACTTATTTTATTCAGCTTCAAATTACTTAGTTTCCCTGCTTGACATTTTATTCATCCCTCTATTCGAAGTAAGAATTCTCTATTCGAATTTTTAATTAGTTAAAATTTTTCGAAAAGGAATCTAATGTAATCAGTACATGACCTCTCGCTAATTCCCTGTTAAGACATGGAATTGTAGGAATAGGAACGACTATTAAGCAAACTAATAAGTCCGTTTGATGGTTTATACCATATAAAATCTAACTTCTTTATAAACTTTGTACGGCTCACTCTTAA